GGGGGGGGGGGGGGGGGGTATGCTTTGCCAAGAAGCAGCCGGTGTCGGTCCGCAAGAACAACTTGCGGATCGTACGTCTTGCCGAAGGACTACCCTCGACCGGGCGCCGTTGGACGTTGGGAGGTCAGTGCGCTATGCGTGAAGGTAGTAGGTGCGGATTTAGGTAGCTCGGATAGTTGAGAGTGGAAGCAAGCCTTCCATTTCCCAGAGGAGGAGGGAGAGGGGTGTGTATGCTGTGATGTTGAAGTTGTAACGGAGGCCTTGTCGAAGTTTTTGAACTTTCGGCCATAGATTAGTCTAGGAAAAAAAAGACATTCGCATTGATTTGTTAGTTGTTCTCCTGTTTCCATTTGCAAACTGGGACTTTGCTCCACCCACACTTTATATTCCGAAATTTGCCGGGTTGTCCTCCGCAATTCCTCTGCGGTAATTTTCCTGAAGGGCAAGCACGGTAATTCAGTTTCCCGTGTTGTATCGGAGCTACCGTTCCCATCCATGTGAAGACAACAGCAACAACAAGAACGACACCCGTTCCCATCCAAGTCGTTACCGTGAAAATAGTTTTACCGTGACGCACCATGGTCTGGTGTTTTTAGAGACTGTAGTGGTCAGTTACGTACCGTAAACTAGGAGATATTTACCATACGGCTGGTTATTGTACGCAAATCAACACCTCCGACGCTTACCTTGACGGACCTTCCTTGTGTTCTTCTCGCCCTGTCCTTGACGTCGAAAAACTATGTACGCCTTCTGGGGAACCTCGAGCCGCGTGCTACACCGGTGCAAGTAAATGTCGGCCCTACTGTCAACGATTTTAGCGCCTGCTATGTACAACGTCAAAGACAGCAAACGGAGGAACACAGAATGAATGCTAGATTGTCAAGGCTCCCAGGTTTGGCTAATTATTATGCGTCTATACTGCGTGATGTGTTTTTGGCATCGATCCCCGTGTCACGGGCAATTTTTCCAGGGCGGTGCCTATTCTTGTCAGATATGAAACAGTGGCAAGCGCCGGGGGAGGGGAGGCGTGGGATTGCTCAACGCTGTACATGGCTGGCCAGCGGTCGTCGAGTATCGGCCACTAAGGCTGGCATGGCACCAAGCTCCTTTTTCTCTACCAACCCGGCAAATGAGTGCGCCTCCCCCACTTGGAATTCAACAGGCGAACGACATGCACCGAGACCTGGGGCAAGTCCGGCAATAAAAGAGCCCTGATGTCCGATGTTTAAATCGAAATTTCATCAAGGCTTTCAACCCCACCCCAAAACAGGCATGGCTTTTTTCAACAAAGTGTACCCGGAACCAAAGGGAAGTAGGGGTGTCCTGAAGATGTAGTCTATGTAGTAACCGATCAGGAGGCGTCTGTAAGTATATCTCAAACGCGCCTCGTGACACAAATAGTATAGTTGTCGAAAGCCAGTCTACCTCCAAAAATAAACATCATCTATGTCATGTAGACTAAGCACATGACTCCCACGAGGTTCGGTAACAAAGCCTAGTTCGGACTTGGGGGGCACGCTGTACAGTCTCTCTCTCGGCGACCAGCCTTCAATCTCCACCGTAGAGTCGTGAGGAAACTTGCTCCTTTCACGCAACGATCTGCTTCTGTGTGCATAAATTTCCTACACGACATGACCATCAACTTTCGACCAATGCAGCCTCTCCTCGGTGCGCTTATGGCAAGCGGGTGCCCTTGGGAAATAGACCGCGCAAGAAACGGTATGTAGAGAAATATAATCACGAACCCGATGCGGCCTCTCTCCCCTCTGGCGTAGAGTAGGATTTGGACCGCTCAAGAATCGACCCTGGAAGGAATATATGTTATCACGACTCCCAGTCAATATCATCGTGACCCACGGTCACTCCCAGCACACCTCAAGTCCGGTTCGTCGCCCCGCCCTACCCAAGGTTTGCCCCATTGAAGGAGACGCCAAAATTATGAGTATCATTCATGGGGAGCCCGGGAGTTTGGTGCATCTTCACCCGTACTCCTGGCCCTGTCAACGCTCTCCCTTGAACATGTTGGCAGCCCTCAAACGCCCATGCCTCTCCGTGCCATCTCGTTGGGAATCATTCAGCGATAACGATGCTTCAGGTTGTTGAGAGATTCCGTCAGCTCCTCCCACAACTCTCTATCGTTTCTGACGCCACCATCACCCGGGAGTAGCGAAGACAGATGCCTAATGTCGATGTGCGCGTCTGCTAGCTCCCGATCTACTTCGACAAGCTCTTTCTCGGAGTTTGACTTCTCGTCCGTGATATTCGCCATTTGCGCAAGGTGCTGCGTGTCTAACCCTGTCTTGCTCTTCAAGAACTGGACAACCTTAAAGTGCGGGTGTTCACGATCCTCGCGGATTCCATGATTCCGCAAATTGGCGAGCTTCCAAGCGTTTTCCCAGTGGCTTCCGCCCTCCTGTCCAGGCACTGCCTCAGGATTTTTGTTGTCGCGCTTTCTGCTGCAGTTGTTCCAACCCCACACCAGGAGTCGGAAGGTACCCATAATCCACAGGATACCGGAGCCGACGATGTACAGAAGACAAAGCACGGTGGCGAACGCCATCGACACCATCATGATCACTAGAGCGAAGACCACCCAAAGCAGCTCCCGTACATACCCCGGTGAGAAATTATTCTCTTCTTCAGACCTGATCACACTTTTCTCGCTCTTCCAGCATGCACAAGTCTTGATCATCTTGATTGTGTCCAGGTGAATTCCCTCTTCGTCGTCCTCCTATGCAGACACACAAGCATTCAGAGAGTTGATACTCACGTTCGCAGTCATAATTATGGTGTACTAGGAACAACCGTTTCTACTGTCGAAACTTAACTCGTTTAGTTCTCAAAAAACGTTTGCGCTGTATCGACATCCCCGGACTTCATGGGTAAAGCAGCCGTTCCGCAAGACGCTGCAAATTCTCCTCATATCAGACCTGGGGGGGCGACTGAACGGGGTGTTTAGAACAGAAATTTTTGTGTCATCGTGCGCAGAACCAACTGACGTACATTGTAAACGACCAAAATTGGAAATAGCAACAGCTTGTGAGTGATCACTCTCTCAGGTGAAAAGCGGGTGGTGCCAACGATCAGCAGCAGCATCGACAAATACTGCGGTGGGACATAGCCTGCACAAACCATTCCCATCATTCAGGTCACCTTCCGATTGGGTGAGCGCAACGAGTACTACTCAAAAGACAAAAACGGCCGCTCACCGTAGGTATTAACGACCGCAGCAAACACCAGGCTACCCACGGGACGGAGAATATCCACAGGATGGTAAACACGACCAATGAGGCTCCACCCATCGTGCAAGCGAACGCGAGCCTTTGGAGAAATCCCTCAACAGCGATCCACTGCGAGCTCTCTGAAAAAGGTTCTAAGTTCTTGCTTTCAGAGTTGTCGTCACCCCCAGCACCACCAGCATCACCAGTACCATCAGCACCGTCATCATCACCAGACTCGTCAGCACCCCCAGCATCACCAGCATCGCCAGCACCACCATCACCTCCACCATTGCCAGCATCGCCAGCACCACCAGCACCACCAGCACCACCCGTACCACCAGCACTACCAGTACCACCAGTACCACCAGAAGCGCCAATATCACCAGCGCCACCAGCATCACCAGCATCACCAGCACCGCCACCACCACCACCACCACCACCACCACTGCCACCAGCACCACGAGCACGGCCAGCACCGCCAGCACCAATGGCATCGCTATCACCACCATCAACACCATGACTAGCACCACCATCGTCACCAGGACCACGAGCATAGCCAGCAACACCACCAGTACCACCAGCACCACCAGCACCACCAGCACCACCAGCACCACCAGCACGAGTAGAAGCGTTTGAACTGATGTCATTCCGGCGACAGCCAACAAGACCATCACGAATGCGTTTACGATCGGCAAAGAATCGAGCGGGCACGTTACACATATTGTGTGAAGTGTCGACAGTTTGATCAAAATGGACAGACGAACCGCACAAAACGTTGAGCCATATTTCTACGGCACATGTACGCATGGGAGAGCGAAGAAGCCCAATTGCCCACATCCGGAATCATGAGATCTACGGAATATAACCGGGTAGGGATAGAATTGTGAAATCAGCTGAGTTGCAACAGGTGAACTAGGTGTGTTGGATGAAACAGCACCAACGTTCCCAAAGAATTGAGTCGGAATAGGATCTGTCGTTCTGTCGGTAGGAATTATATCCTGCGAACTCACCGGCTGCGCAACGACCTTGCCCACAGGATGAACCGCCATATTTCGGTGAACAAATCGATCAGAACACCAAAACCGAGCTTGATCAGGTTGAGCGGGGGTGGTGGTCGGAGGTGCGCGACACTTTGCGCGCTCTGGACGACCAGACGCGCCCTGGCGAGGTGGAATTCCTTCTCGGCGTTGACGTACACCTCGTCGTGCGCAGTGCTGAGAACCGCGATCAGGAGATTGAGCAAAACCACGGACATCGTGATGGTATACACCTGGCGACAGCGGGCAAAAAGCAGGACAGATGTTGGGATCGACGAAATCTCGGGCTGGCGATGTGCAGGGGCAAGGTTGAACGGAACGGGCCAGGAGATTTTGGTAAATGTACGGCTGTCGTCTGAATTCTATTCGTCAGACACCAAACTTTGCTTACCACCATCATCGATATCCCAGCGCTGCGAGCGCCTCTTGGGAGATTGCACCTGCAGTCGCTGCCCACGTCATCGAACAGGTCGATCTCCGGTCCCCCCAAAGCCGACGAAAACACAGTTACAAACGAATCTCCGAACGTCCCGAAGGCATCGCGAAGGGGGAACGGATCATCATCATCCAGAGTGCACTGAGGCTCGCTGTACTCCCCGCACGTGTGAAACACCGCGTGGAACGCCAGGGCGAAGCTCAGCATGACCATCGCAATAAACGCTGAGAATCGAAGCATGTGTGACATCATCCTCCAGATCACCTGGAGCCAAGAGCGAATAGCGAGGTGGGGTGATATCCGGCGTGCAATACATCACTTATTCAAAAACAATTCCTAGGGCTGCTTTGTTGCCAAAAACGGCAAACCTAATAACTGAGAGTAGCGTTCCTCGGTTGGGTTCACTCAATGAATATCCCATTGTAGGTGAGACGATCTGCTCGTGATTCGAAGGATACCTGGGTCATTGGTCCCAGGGTGGCATCGATTTGCGACAGCACCAGAAGCCTCGAGAAGAGGAGAGGCGCGCTGAGGGCGTAGAAGAACTGAGCGTAGAAGAGATCGAACTCGCTGTCGAAGCGGGCTATCATCCGGAATATGAAGGCGACGAGGATGCAGCAGATTGTTGACATGTCCATGAAGTTCCACGTATCGTAGAACACGTATCTGTATGAGGGGGTCAACAGATACAGTACCGCATGTGGTGCAGAACGAATGACAAATACAATGGCAGGTTCGCGTGAAAAAAAAAGCAAAATGTATCTGTGTTGTAGGATCTGGCCTCACCGGGAGTCAGGTGAACGGAGGTCGGTGCCAGACAGAATTAATCAGACTAGTCAATACCTGGTGAACGCCGATACCATCCGATTGAAGTTGCTCCCGGCTCCGAGATGGCTAATCCCGGGCTTCACACGGCCGCCCACTTCGGGTCCCAGACCGCGTGAGATTCTGTGGCGGCGGGTCGGCACCCCGTCTAGAAACTCGAGCACCTCTCGCCAGAGTAGGCCCTGTCAAGCGGGCAGCGAATCAATCGTCGAGGGAGACGTACCAAAGCAGCTGCCAACACCGTGTCAGTACCAGAAACCGTTGTTGAACGATTCCGGCTTTACAAGTGTCTCGGCGGGCCCCTGCTTGTGTTTCACTCATTAGGGCGTCAGATGGCATGCTTGCTTCTTGCATCCTTCGCTTGACGCCCAGGTCAGATGAATTTCAACGAGAATTACGCATGCTCAATCGTCGATGGGTTTTCTCACCGACCCATGAGAGGAGGTGCTGTCCGCAGAGGGAGAACGCGCACTTGGCGTTGTTCCCCAATACAACCAACACGAGGTAACGACACATAATGTGCCGATAAGTGCTTTTCAGGTGGCCACCCAAACGGACCCTTGCTGAATGAAGGCAAACGTTAGCAACGATAAGTGCAACGACTTACCAGAGATTATTCGGTTTGAGGCGGTAAGGATGCAACTTGACAAATTCGACCGTCTCAACCACAACCTTCTCGTGGGGTTGAACTTCGATGGACTTGTGTTCTGAGCCATCTGTAATGGTCTTTAGCTACAGATCCTCAATGAAGACAAGAAGTGCGACTGAACCACCAGCCCAAGCTGTGTCTTCTTCGCCTCTGAAAGTTGACAAGGTTTCGAATGATTTGATGCGTCACAATCGTTTCTCGTGCAATGTTTGCAAGTAGGCAAAAATGGACGTCGCGTCGATGGGGGGTTCCTGTGACCTCGCTTTTCGCGCGGGGGCTTTCTTGCTCAAGATGCAAAGGGCATGATACCGGCATCTTGACCAGAGAGCAATTGAGGAGTTCACAGTCGTCAAACCGGGATAGTTGACATTCAAAGGCAATACACATGGAAATCAAACAGGTTTTCCACTTTTGTCGCCAACTGCCAGAAGCATCCAAGTCAGCTACCACCTGCGCAGCCTGCGACAATATCGCACACATCCAAATCATAAGAACATAGATGAACAGGTCATTCGGAGCGAGGGACGTCTTACCGCTGCGAAGATGTAGAAGATGACTTCGTCTCGCGGAATGAAATCGGGCTCCTTGAGCAGCACCGAAGAACAGAACAGCACCAGCATCACCCTGTGACGTGTGTGAGAGGGCCCGACGAGAATTTTCTATTGAAGCGTGGGAAGCACCTAACACTCATGAAGTTTAGCGTCGAAGGTTCCCTAACTGCAAAGACGGCGACACGAACACGAACCAGATTCCATCTCTCTACGAGAAGCGGTGATATTTGGATTGCACCGAGGACTCCAAAAGGGGACGGCTCAGTCCGTGTGTTTTCCTCCACGCCACTTGCTCTTCTGGCTTGCTGGAAAATCACGGACCAGGACAGTGCTTGCAAACGAATCATTTCGGTTGTCGGACGGCGGACCACCGTACACTCATCCATTCTCACAGATAGCTGAAGCTCTCGTAGACGAAGCGGATAACGGGGACCTTGAAGAATGTCTCCGGCTTTCCAAGGATCCCAGCCAGCGAAAATTGCAGCCCTGGAAGTATGGTGAGGTGTGGAACATAATACCACACGCTCTCGTTGCTGCGTGGGTGGTCCCACCCCTGTAAAACCCTGGTGAGCAACAACAAAGGTAACACCCTCGAGCATCGATACCTTGCCACATAATGCTCGTCATGAATTCCATGAATGCAGTGGCGGCATGGTTCAGATCGTAACCTCGTAAAGTCTTCAGGCTTTAGGTTGTGGGTTCGAACATCTCGGGAGTGAAACAATCTCGCACTTTAGTTTTTCTACTGCGCGAAACACAGAGGGCAGGGGCTGCTGACGCCTTTTCGCGTTTTGCCCTTGAAGGCAAGTACCACAGGAGGAACGGTGGGCAATTCCTCCGTTGCAATACCGGCTGGTGCGTAAACATAATAGAAAAGACTTGTACACTTGTTTCCGGAACACATGGGACAAAACCCAAGAGAGTCAGGACAGGCTTTTATTATTGTACGTGATCGGAGACTTGCCTCCCGGCAATGTATACAAAGGGATGGGTGTTCGCCATGTCACAAAAATTGATGTGACCACAGGTACTTGGGTGGAATATGCAACGATTCATTCTCGCCAATTGGTGTGGGTCGAACGGAACGAACAAACATCAACGAGACGCGACTGACCGCAAGAGGAAGGACATGAAGCTTCCGGGCAACTGCCAGAGGAAGGAACCCAAACTCTCCCCGGCCGTTGATCCCGTCGATGCCGTGGGTGTTCCGCTTGGTTCGTTCCCGCCTTTGGCCTGGTCATTCCCAGAACCTCGAAGAAGTTTGGCCAGATCGTAGACTTCGAAGTCGTCGTACTCGAAAAACCCTTCGTTGATGGTGGGTTGGAAAGGGTTGCGGGACCACCAGGGTGGGAGAGTGCCAGCGAACTTCACGTGAACGTAGTCCAGCACCAGCGGGGAGAAGAGGAATTCCAAAGCGTCCGAGCCCCTGTCCAACGCACTCTGTAGAGGATCCTTGTACACTGGTCCACGGTATCTGCGATGATCGACAATTTCCAGAGGAGCAGAAATGATTAATCTTCTGCGATACATATGTGCCGTAGGCACGATTTTTGCCACGGCATTCCCGAGGTGATTCCCGCGATGCGATTGCTCTCTTGTGGGACAACAAGCTCTTCCCTTTTCACTCACTTCTTGGCCTTGTTGATTTTCTCAACCAGAAGAGAAGGTTCCAGCATCCATTGCTGGAGGAAAAGGAAAGACACATCAAACACGCAAGGAAAGTGGTCAGTCCATGGTACGTCGAGCATGAATGCGTGGCGTGTTTCCTTTCGCTGTTGTCTTTACACATAATCTCCTCGGCACTTGCGTATCAGACCCTTGTCCACTTGTTTCCTGGAGGCGATCATTTTACAAAGAACGTCGCGGGAAAAATCAAATGATGGTTTCGATTTCGCACGATCCTGGGGCCCTGCTTCAAGATGTACCAACCAGGCCATACCGGCCATGTCCTCTTTTAGTCCTCTTTTAGCAGGCTACCAAGGGTGCACCAAACAATTCTTCCACACTTGATTACCCAATTTCATCGTTGAAATGTTTTGGGGGGGAAGGGGTTACCCGTAGAATATTTCCAACACTAATCATGGGGGCCCCGCGGCGTGGTTCCTGGTTATTGTACGGGAAAAATACGAGCTAGGACCTACGATCTTCTGTTGTTGCCAACTCACAGTCATGATCACACAGACGGGTATGTGCCGCATCAAGAGAGCACCTAACCCGCCCACAGCATGCGTCAAACGTCGTCACCCGCAGCACACGAGGAGTCCCCCATGTGCAGCTTGTTTGAAATGAGCTATACACCCCGAGAGGAGCAATTCGTCGAAAGCATTGTTTTCGGCCGCCAGGGGGTTAAATGCCCCAGGTGTGCGGGATGCCGTTTCGCGTGCAACCCTTGGACTTACGTTAAAAAAACTCTAATAATGCAACTCCCGGGAGACGCAGATGAAAAGGTAATATTCTGTCAGGCCGAAGTAAAATACCGAGTCCCGTCCAGGGTGGGCGTCGCATTGTGCGAGCCAGACGTCGCACTATGTACAACTCGATAACGGCACGAAACCGACATACCACGGCAATGAAGCCCGCAAGGTTGCCCAGCCTGTAAATCGTTCCCTGGTGAAGGCCGTGGCCGTATGAGATGGGCTGGTGCCCCCCAAGAAGGTCCATTCCCATCCCTTGGACTGTGTGAGGGAGTTTGTCCAGCAGCTAAAAGCAATGGAGAGTAAAGCGGAACAAGGCGAGGGTTACTGGACTGATGACTCAGGAGATCAACCACCGCGGTGCAGACGGGTGTGCATTTATCCGGCAGTACTCACGGGAGCTCTTCGACAGGCAGACCGCACTCCAAAAGTCCGACTTTCTGAAAGCGGGAGGCGATGGCGGATCTACTGTACGGATGCATGAGGCGGGCCTCGCTCCGCAACCACTACCAGCTGCTGAGGATGACACATCCCCGGCTTCTGCTACGAGTTCTCGGGTACAGCACGGCGACTACTGTTCGCTGGAGCATTGCAAGACAACAGGATGGACGACTCCCGAAGCGCACAATCGGTGGGAAACTCGCGGGGGCGGAGGATCCAGGCAAAAGGGGGCCCGGAACAGAACTGGCCTAAATGCCTGAAGGATGACTTCAAGAGTTCGCCACCCCCGTCGAATCCACGGAAGACAACACGACAACGTTCGGGGTCCCTCATATCATCTGGACTCTTACAGCTGAAGTGGGGGCAGGGGGGATTTTGGCAAACGGGAGTGCCATGGGGGGCAAGAGGTCCATGTTCGCCTGGCATTAGGAAGAAGGGGAGGCCAGCAGAGTCTGACTATACATGACAAAAATGGAGCCGAGCCGAAAACAGAAACGGCAGCAGAACCGGGGAGGGGCGGGGGGGGTGGACAGTGGAAGAAGCGCCAAAAAAACAGATAGATGGCATGTTTGCAGTTGACGAGCTAGGTCGGAGATGGCAGAACGGGTAGCGAGATATGTACCTGACAAAAAAATTGGAAGGTTGGACTACAAGCCATATGCTTTCCGTTTACTAGCCACGCGTGGGCCGGCCAATCCCGCAAAATCTCATTCTCGTGCCTAGACAACATGCTCAGGGCCCATGCGCACGATAAACATTACTTTTGCGAACTTTCGAGCACGTCTCCAACCCACACACAGCATATTGTCCGATTTTGTCCGAAATTCCGGTGCGTAATACCCACCAAATCTACTAGTATTTGTTGTTAAATGTTTGTCCATTTTCAGACCTCGGAAATCAACTTCCATTTCACCACATTTCATCCGCCTACCTCAAGGTTAAACCGGTCGATTCTGTTTTGAAGGCGACGGAGTCCCCTTTGGTGCATGGGGTGGTCCACTCTCGCCCGCCTAAGGAATCTGGGTACCCCAGCTGCCATCCCGAGCGGGTTGCTGCGATCCAACGATGATGTCAGAAAATAGAGCACAGAGCCGCCAGTCAATGAGCGAAAGAATGTTGTATCAGGTGGCTGGACTGATGCCCCCAGGTCAGTTCCACGCCAAGGGAAGCATCCATACCTCGAACGAACGTATTGCAAAATTGTTTTTCCCGCGATTTTCCAACATTGAAAGAGTTTCGAACTTTCCTTGTGGAAATTACCAGTGATTCTGCTTACCTCGCGTTCGCCACGGCGAAAAGAACGGTCTCGATGATATCCTGCTCATGATCCCCTATACTCTCCAGGAGACATGGAATGTGGTCATCGTGGAGAGGAAATCCCTCCTTGACCAGGTCCCTGCGTGCGGCAGCATCATCGATCACATCCGGATCGAAGCAGGTAGCATGTAGCCGCGCTAAGGAACGAGCAAAACGCAGGCTAAAGTACAGCGTGTGGATTCTTCGTGTTTGGTCCAAACCCAGCCTGGTCAAAATTGTTGGACACGGCAGCACCAATCAACCAACCATGGCTTGAAAAACTTCGGAGAAATCTCTTGGACCAAATTGTTGCGTGACGAACGGCATCCGGATTGCCATGATGGATCTGGGACGTCATCCTCCACACGTCGACCGCTTCAATGTATTGCCATATCTATAATCAAAATTCCAGCAAGACGGTCGATTGTTTGTTCAGCAGGAACCTTGGCCACTTAAGACGCCGACGGATTGCTGCTCAAACATCAGCACTCCAGTAGAAGTGGACATGCCATGGCCCCAAACCATTGTCGGCCAAACTACTGAAACCCACCACAGTCAAACATCACACTTCTGTCGATTGTCATACCCTAGCATTAATTCTTCGCCACGTGACGACGTCCTTCGGCGTCCCGAGCTCAGTTTTGGGACGCCATGAATGTGAGTTTATTCTTTTTAGTGTAACCATGCAACATCTGTCGTGTCGTAGGGTACACCGAGTCAGCTACCTGAGATCAGTGAAGGCTCCTCGCTCAGACGCCACGTCAACTGCCCTCGAGGAATAGGCCCTCAAGTATTCCCTCCAGGATATCAGCTTCTCACCCCCAGAGTGCGACGTTGCCCGCCTCAGAGCCTATATCAGCAAACGAAGACGGCATTTTTCAACGCCAAGCCAACCACGATTTCCGGACGAAGGAATGCCCCCACCTCTTGTCTTCAGTATTCGGTTTCCGGGTAAATTCGTGCAACCAAGGGCGAAACAAATATGCTCGCTATTTTGGCCGGCAGGAACACAAACGGCTGCCTCTCAGCCTAAGGCGTTTCCTAATCGATCTGTTAGTCTACAGCACGGGGAAGCGTGAATCATGTCATCGTATGAATACCGAACCTCTGCCGGTGCCGCCGTGACCCGGAGAAACCTCAGACGAACTAACAACACACGCGAGACCCAGGCCGGGAGAAGCGTAAACAGGTCAAGCCATGGTTCCGAGGCTCTTACGGTAACGTTCGGTTACATGCTAATTGCAATGTTCGGCCAACCATATGCCCGGCAAGCGAGCGCGGCAGAAAGGATTTTGAGTGTTCCTTCTCTGTCAACCACCCGACGAACCTCGACAACATCACGCCACATGACAGCTGGAATCGTCCACGCTCCACGAAGAATGGGGTTGGGGATGTCGTCCTGGTAGCCGTAAATCTCCAGGGGTGCGGGCGCCCTCTCCGGCCAGACCTAAAAGTGAATGCGGAGCAAGGGAGTAAGCTGGAGCTCATGCTTGTTTTGCATCATCCAGCATCTCCCTGTTGCGTACGACCAAACATTTTCGAAAAAATGCCACGACATATTCACTTTGTGTACACTTCTGTGAGCGCAAGCGCGGACCGAACCACGGTCGTTGTCGTAAGCCCTGGGAATAGGGCACTCTGCCGCATACTGACGCGCGACGCCCATTGCTGCCGTCTTCTCCGACCGTCACAGGGCTTGAGCAAGTTTCATGTACAACACGAAATCTTTCACGCTCAGACAACATGGAAGTCTCCAGGTGTGAAGAAAATGCGAGGGTGAATTTATGGGTGTGGCCTACGAGAGGGTAACGATCGCGCCTTCGAAGCTTGGGAACAGCCGACAAATGAGTGTCAATCTTCCAATACAGCTGTGACATTAGTTTAGACGGCATTGACCGGTGTCAAGTCTGTTGTTGTTGTTGTTGTTGTTGAGTTCACATTAAGAACTGTTCCGATATCTCTACCCCGTACATTTTTCTGTCCGTACTTGTCCAACACTTGACGCGGTCGATTCCCGTGGTCACAGGCTAACCTACCCAAATAAGGGATGAAAAAATACAATGGACCCGGAATTCAATGACAGATAGTCTACAACCCTCCGCTCGCCTCTCCACGCTATGCGCGATAACCTTAGACTGGAAAATAGAAAGACATACTGAAAAAGGAAGAAGCAGAAGAAAGCTGTCCCCCGTTCTCGCTCCGGTGCACCACGTGAATCAAACATATGAGTTCCGAAACGGCATCAGTCCAGGGGCGAATAGTTTGCTTTATCCCAGAAGAAATTCACAGCTACCCAGGCGAGGTGCTTAACAAAGGATGCAACGCGAAGGGACGGTGGCGAGGACGGCGCGCCGTGAACGAAAACCTTCCCGACGACAGTGCTCACCTTCGGTACACGGGAAAAATGTTTGAAAAGGGATACCTCGATGATCCACAAACAAGGTGATTGGTGAAGTAGAGACTTGGATACAGTGAAGCCGTTAGGAGCAAGCGTCAACAATCTCTTTCGCGATATCCTCAAGCGTATAACCCGTAAGTTCAAATATCAATGCACACATACCCGCATTCGGCACACGCAAACAAATGGACGAGCAGAAAGCAAGGGCCAGAGTGAGCTCGGGCGCCGCCAAACACCAGGGGACAATAGGAGAGGCTGAAACCGTGTCCTTACGCGCGCCTCCACGTCTGTTCGGCTGGCTCACATTTGTGCGTAACCAAGGCTTTTTGGCCAGCGTTGTGTAGGTGTCGTAGACCCTCCAGAACAGGACCCAATTGCTGCTGAACGCAGCTCCCACCAGAGGCGAAATAGTTGTCTTTGGCTCATAGTGCGGCGGCTTTGGTACCAGTTGTATCAGCAACTCCTCTTCGTTCGGCGCGTGCTGTGTACAGAAGAGTGTTAGCATCCAAAATCAGTGGGAAGGGCACGTTGGTTACTTCTGTGGGACGCGAATAACGGATAGAGTACCTTCAAGTTTCATGTAGTCGCTTCCAATACCAATAAAGCAGAAAGAATATTCGGCACCCACCTTACGGTCCTCATGTAGTATTGCCAGAAAAATGTTGTACCCCCAAAAGAGGAAGCGACGGGAACGCCGGGCAGAAAAGGAGAAGCACAGAACGTTCTCTGGACGCAGGTGCCTTGCCCTTCCCTCAGCAACCACGCTTGCCCTGCTCCATCAGCCAAATCAAAACTGCCGTGGCTGAAGCGGCCCGTCCCGACTCACCGTTTGAAGGTAGGAGTATACCAAGTCGAACATCTTGCTCCCGTGGTCACTGGGCTCCATAGACGCCGACGCCGCGCACGCAAGAGGGCTCGCCTCGGCGACTTTACCGCTAAGCAAGTCTATCCCGGTAAGGATAGCCCAGGTCTGTAAAGCCGGAGACATCGTCGATAGTGACAACAGCAAGACAATATCAACGTTGATTGTGCAGGTTTCTGAAACATGGCCCACGGCTTTACTTTCTGAAATGATTGAGGTCTCACGAGGTTCTAAAGCACGAAATTCTCACGAAAGCCTTGTCGCTATACTAAATTTGAGCTGACAGAAGCGGCTCCATGTGCCGCCGGTCATGATGGCGAACGCGGTGCTAGTCTGTCGACCACAGTCTTGGCGCCCATAGAGCTTTCGCGGAATCGGCTCGCAAAGCACCGCGCTGACGCACCCGTGAGGTGCGAGGCTAGCGCGAAAGGCGTGCGGTAGTCTCACAATTTTCCCCAACTGCGGGTTCGGGCTCGCAATGTCCGCACTGCCATTTTCATTAAGATGACAGGGTATGGTGACTTGAGTTTTTGCTTTTTTGGCGTGGTCATCACCTTCAGAGACAGGTATGGCTACTACGGTTTCCCCGCCTCGTTGGTGCCTGGCGGTGCGTGTTAAACATGAGATGGGTGCCCCCCATGCTCGAAGATAGGGTTCTCTATCGCACCATCCGTCGGGAAAAAACAGCCGAGAAGGTCGCAACTTGGTCTACTAGTTCAAGAAATTGAGTAGCGTATTATCACCGTCCTTGTCGTATGATACCAACCACGAGGTTGGAAGGGCTCACGCGAGGAAGGGCGGAACCCCTGACCACGTAATTGCAGTTGCGAGCCAACCGAAGAAATCATTGTAATTCAGCTCTTGCAGACGATTCCCTACTCTTGGTAACGATTCCCTTTTCGGTGTTTGCCACAGGCCCAGAGGATGACCGGAGCTCAGCTTCAACCTCTCGTGGCGTGTATGTTCGAGCGCAAAGGTACACTTGAAAACGACGACGAAACAGGAAAATACCAACAGCTATCCGTCGTCCAACCTTCATACCTCGGGGTCGGTTTCGCCGAAAAGCTTGACGATTAGGAGATAAACGTGCTCAACGGCAACCGTCCGTCCTGATAGGATGGCTTGCGAAAAGAGGGATTTCCCGCCTTTGCTCATCTCTCGCACAACTGTCTTCACATTCTCGCCGAAAGGCAACCCTGCGCGGCGACCCTCATGCCTACGCAAGGTGAATCTGTCGGCGTTCGGCTTCTTGGTGAACACGCCGTCCTGTTGATTGCAAGCATCAGACGCCCGCAACGCACAACGGATATAATCAAATAATCAAAATGGAAGAACCGTGCTTTGGTACCGAATGTTCGCTCACCCAGAAGGGCGTGTAAGCTGTCGAGTGTTGTAGCGAGGCCAGCCGTTGATGGCAAGGCAAGAGTTTCGACTAACCTGAATGGCGGTGAGGACAATGTGTAGCACATCAATGTCGCCCCGCTCGGCGGCCGCCGCTAGGAGCAACCCTTTTCCCCAGGCAGGTTGCGGTTCCCATCTTGGCTTGTCCGAAGCTGCCTCGTCACAAGCCTTAACATTGAGCGCTATGTCGAGGCTTATCGAACCATCCGCTAGTCTAGACGAGGGCAGAGGTTCGTTGAGAGCGAGCTCCAAGGACCCCAACCCACCTCGTGCAGCATGCATCAATTCCGTCACTCCTCGCGCCTTCCTAGTGATCTCGTGACTTTTCGAGATCTGTATTCGCTGCGTAAGCACATCCGTCATCTCCATCCACCCTTCCTTGGCGTGTTCACCGGGATCAACGGACACCTTCTCGTCTTGTTTACCGCAAGTTGTGGGCATGTTGCTGTACAGCAAGGTGAACTTTTTTAGTAGACTGTCACCGGCGCGCACGTCCCGGGTGGCGTCGCTCAATACGTACATTACAGGGGTTCGGTTGTTGTTGTCTCTCTCAGCATATGACGACCCTCCCGCATCGCTGTACTTTTTAATCACCTTGCCCAGCACCTCGCTACACCCCGCTTCCGCGGCGTGGTGGAGACAGTTCATGCCCTTGCGGTCTTTCGCGGTATAGTCAGAAGACGTGAGAGGGACGGCCTTCGAGTAAATGCCCACAATTTCGTCAAAAGCGTTACCATCATTGCTCCGTGCCGCGTGCATCAACATCGTTCTACCCTCGCCGTCGACAGCTTCGAGCTGCTCTATCAATCCGCCTTTCCCGAGGGCCTTGTAGACGAGATCGTGCGCCGTTCGAAAACACGATGTTTCACCTCGGCTGGCAGCCGCGTTGAACAAAAGAGGAGCCCGGTCGATGTCTAGTTCCCGTAGCTCCTTGGCCAGTGCGCGGACCCCAATCTTCGTCGAAGGTACACGCGCGAGGTGGTGGGCAAGTGAGGCTGAGAGAACATATGCGATAGATGTTCAGCGTGCCAACCAACAACGCATGGTGACACGACGAGGTTCAGAGACAACAAGAATAACACAGACCACACACGAGGAATAGCAGAGGGGAAAGCATGGCAGAATGACGAAAACGGGGCAACACGTAGTCAATCCCCACTGTTGAAATACAACAACGCCGTGGAGACAACAATAACAACACCGGAGAATGATGCAATCAGTTAGTCGTAGCCTCGACCTCTTTGATGTATTACAAACAACGATGATGTCACCACGCGTCATCTTGTTGCAAGCCGCACCTTTGTTTGCGGGTTGGCTAGCTACTCCGCGTGTCTCGGCTGCACGTAACGGAGAAGGGCGGATGACCTCAGTGTTTTATACTTATCGCCCAGACACACAGGCGACACTGCGATGGCAGCGATAAAGTGAAAAAACGAGCAACAGGAGCGACCTTGGGTACAACCGGCCAAGGCACGAGCCTGATCCGTTCGTCGATCGCGTTGTTCCCAAGCGAAACCGCTGAATTGTAACAGCACATCCGCACCTTTAAAAGGAAGCAAAAATTCAGCCAATCAGATACTCTGTGCTATTGCCTGTTGGCGCTTACCTCGCGATTGTACGATAGAACCCCGTGAGCATCGTTTGAAAGTGGCTGGCGTTTTTCACTCACCTTTGACCTTATCTTGCCGGCGATGAACAAAAACCACACATCCCTGCCCTGGGCGGCAGCGTACGTGATCAAATTCTGCCCATCTTCGGGGGCCTTCGATTGCAGCGCTCCGTCTAGCACCGATTCCAGGTCTTCTCCGAGCAGATTCTGCTCTTCAACAAAGGTTTTTTTCACAACTTTCTCTGTGCCGATTACCTCTCTTATTTGTCGGCGAAGGCGATACATCGTCTCTTGTGTCCGCTGGTGCGTGTCAAGTTGAACGAAGGCGAAACAGGGTAGGTTTGACATTATGCACGAAAGCACACTTTGTTCTGTTCCCGATCGGCTTTGCCTCAACAGCCACTTGAGGAACACACAATAATCGTCTCCGTAAGCTTTAAGAATGCGTCTCTCTGCGAATGATGAGCATATTGCTGATCCCATTGTCACGCTGGCTTTCACGGCACGTGCGCGCTCTGCCGTGATCGTGTCAACGAACCCACGTGGAAACAGCAGTCATAAGGTGCTTGCTACGGTGCGTTTTGGCACGTTGACCGCACAGAACAAACGGTTTGATTCACCTGTGCCCTGTGTGGGGTCCAGCTTTGCTGATGAACCTCCGGCATCGCTGCGTCCACCATGTCCGCGTCGGATGTGGCCTTGTCCAGCGCTGCGCAGATCAAAATGCACCTAAAAGCGGAAAGACATGGTTGAGAGGGTGAGGGCCAGCCCACGTCGCATCCGACCAGTGGCAACCTGCTCCGAACCTCCAACTGTCGCTACTACAGTCATGACGTTAGACCTTTAAACACTACACTTCCGATACCGGAACCGATAGTCAATTCAAATTATTGGGATGGACTGCCCAAGCCTTGGTGATACCCCTTTCAAATAGGGGTAGCGCTGACTGTATCCTCTGCTAGTATTCACTCACAGCATGGCGGGGAGGGGGGGGAGAGTAGCATATCCTACGGTGCAATAGGGCTCGCGGCATGCAAGATTTCACTTTTCGGAGACAGGTCAATTGCACATCTTTTTTTGTCTGCCGTCTGCAACATCCCATGGACACGACGGGACCATCGTGCTAGCGCCGCATCATGCTAGCGTCGCAACACATTCCGCCTCTTGGGTCATTCGGAAATACGTACATCGAAAAGATACCGCCTGGTGCGATCCGTTGACGACGTGGGTACGTAGCCGCGACCAAGCGCGTACGTGACAAATCGAAGTGCTTGGAGAAATGAAACGGGACGGGCATCAGGAACAGGTCTGCAGGAAAATAATGCTCATATTGTACAGCAGTGCTGCTATGATTAGGGCATGTTGGATATTTCTTGGTAGGGCGTGCTTTAAGTTGAACGCATTTCTATGGTTTTGGGGAATCGCCCGGGTAGAAATCCTCCGCTGTTCGTGCGATGCAAACTTAACCACATCTGAATCTCTGTCAAAACACACTTCGAGTACCGTCAGACGTGTAGGCACTTCGTGTAGGAAACTGTGCGAAGGGAGAGCTTTGTACTTTCGTGAAATGAATTGAAATGCACTGCTGTGTTACGTACCTACAACATCGTTTTGCTGCAATGAGGACCCATGATGAATGACCCTATCAAGATGAGCTTCAGGCGTTCCTCTTGATGGAAAAAACGAAAAAAAACTGTCCATATTTTTTCATGTTGTTGACCTCCCCGTTTTAGATACAGTAGAGGTCCTTGTTAAGTGCCGGTCGCCGGTTGAGCGCCGGTCAATCCTCGGCGCACAGACAGCCCTGACTAGTGCCAGACCGGCACTATTGAGGGATGCCCACAATGGTGCCGGTTCGCACTTCTGTACCCACGATAGTACCGGTTCACGCACCCACGCACCTCATGGAGTCCCCCAACATGGCCTTGACAAGAATTTACTGTTTTCACCCGACCGAGACTGACGTCTTTTTTTCATTGTGCATACAAGGTTAGAATGCCAACATACACACACTTTGAGAGGGGGTCCGCCAATAATAGTTGCAATAATTGGTGATGAGAGTGGTGGTGAAGAAAAAGAGGACGGTGAAAACACTCCGAAAGTAACGCGCGTACAAAGCTGTAGCCTTGGTAGCCAAAGTAGTTTCCTCTGTTGCTACCGTTTCTGTGGTTAGTGCGGAGAGTGGCTAGCCCCCCCCATGACGCCTCCTCATGGGCCCCCAGATTCAATCTCCCACACAACTGACAGTTTTGCTAAACCGCCCATGGGTCACCCATGACCATGCCCATGGGCGGCCCATGAGCGGCACATGAAGTGCCCACCGTGGGCACTTCAGCCAAGAACTTCGCCACCGGCATATCAACCTAGAACTTAGCCACCAGCGCCAACCTAGCACGTATCGTGTGGGCTTGGGGTTAGGGTTAGGGTTAGGGTTAGTGTCGGGGATATAGCGCTACGTATTGTGCCCGTTCCAACACGGATAATCTATTGTTTAGGAGTACACTGGTTCGGTTGAAGGGCTCTCATTAGCCGCTCATGGGCCGCGCATGGGCTTCCCATGGGTCACCCATGGGAATCCCATCATCGGTCGTTTGGGAAAACTGGAGAAAGTGTGGTAGACCCCCCAGATCATTGCCTGTTGAAGATTTTTGTGTTGTCATCCGCACTCTGACTCTGACGTATTTTCATTAGTCAGCCGGTTAGCACGGTCAATCCCAGAGACAACCACAATAATAAACGCGCACAAACGGGGTCGATGCTGTTAAAGAGACCACACGATGGGGTTCTAGATAATGGGATTATTGGTAGCAATCATAATTTCTTCTTTCCACGCCGAGCCAGACAACGTCTGTCTTTTGATCGATCAGTCGGTTAGGGCTATCGGCGCAATTAATCGCACTCGCACACGCCCATGCATTTTCGCTATATCGAAGGAGCGCAAGGAGACGTGGGATTTTGCTTCCGTTCGTTTATTGATAGTACGAGTGAGTGTAGGCATTGATTGGAGATTCATAATCATTGTTACCGCCAAAGATGCATAGGGTGGCTGCGTGAGCATCTTTCTTTCGCTGTCGAGAAATTGAGCGTGCCCGGAATGATTTGATCCTTGTAAGGCCATTGCCACAGCTTTGAGGTAAGACTACTTCGTATATCTTGTGCGATATTCATGTGAAGGGTTTACGTGACATTTCAGGCTATCAAGTACGTTTCTGTGTCCCGCCCAGTTAACTTTCCACAGCAAATCTGCGTGTTCGACAGGGTAGGAACCATCCTATCGTGGCACAATCTGCCCTCGCCGCGCCATGCCATGATCTCATCATGTACGTCTAATGAGGTACTCTGTGTTGACCCCGCAAAGTGTAAGCGTTGCACGGTGAAATCACACACAGTTCTCCTGAAGAATTTTCAGACCCTGACTAGTGCCGCTTTGGCACTATTCAGGCACTATCCAGGCACTCTGAACAACAGTGCCGGTGCCCGGTGAGTGCCGGTGAAATTTCTGCGCACACCTCGGCACTAAACAGGGACCTCTACCGCAACCGCTACCAGGTTTTCAGCGATAATAATGCCCTCAATAACTCTTGCACACCCTGTAAAACTACGATAGTTGGTAGCTGCTCCGCGAACAACTTTCTGCTCAAAATCTTGTGCAACTAGTTGCTCGCGAACAACTCTCGGTTTAGAATCTTGTGCAACTAGTTGCTCGCGAACAACTCTCTGCTCAAAATCTTGTGCAACTAATAGTTGCTCGCGAACAACTCTCGGTTCAGAATCTTGTGTAACTAGTTGCTCGCGAACAACTCTCGGTTCAGAATCTTGTGCTACTGGTTGCTCGCGAACGACTCTCGGTTCAGAATCTTTTGCAACTAATAGTTGCTCGCGAGCAACTCTCTGCTCAGAATCTTGTGCAACTAGTTGCTCGCGAACAACTCTCTGCTAGGAATCTTGTGCAACTAGAAAACTACGGCCAAACTGCCGATAGTTGCCTAGAAACCAACTACTATGTCGTTGGTAGTTGTGAAAACGTGGGGGAGGGAAATGCTGAGGAGTTGAAGAGAAGGCTTTGCTGCTGCTTGATGTGGGTCCGATGCATCACGCCTCACTAGCTTCATGACCATGGCCCCTGTGTTGCGCTGGAGTAACAACATGAACATCGAGTTGTTGTTGTTGTTGTTGACTTCACATTAAACCGTATGCCAGTTGCTAAATGCCAAAATCTAGCAAAGACTCTCGGCCCGTGGTCACGAAAGTGCTGGAGCCATCTGAGGATCTAAAGAACACGCACACGTAGCAAGAAAAAGGTGTACAAGAGCCCGAAGAGGTACTACTACACCTATATATAATC